TAGGAGATAGGTGTAAACCTAAGAGAAAGTACTTTGTTACAGAGCACACAATTAACTTGTGAAATTCATTGCCACAGGAAGTGGTAGAGGCAGATAGCATTTGCGTAGTAGGTGGTACATTTGTGAGATTGTGCATTAGATCCCACCATACCTTATTCCCAGTGCAGGGGAAGCCCAGGCTGGGATCACAATCCCAGGCTCCCCCTGCAACCGGCTCCTGCAGCTTCACGCCGCACAGCTGATGGGGCTCAGGAGGGCGTGCAGCGGAGACAGCATTCCCCATGCTGCCCCTGCTGAGAGGCCTGCAGCCAACATGGGCCGCAAGCCTCGGCAGTTGTGGGGCAGCATGGGGAATGCTGCCCCAAATGCAAGCCTCATGAGGTGTAGAGCTCATGGGGGGGGAGGGGAAGGAGGAGGGGCAACGTTCTCCCCACTGCAAGCCCTGCAGCTGGCAATGCTCCCACCACTGTAAGCCTTGTTAGCTGCAGGGCTGGCTGCACGTGGTGCACCCTGTGGCTACAAGTTCCTCAGTTAATGGGGCTCCCAGCCACAGGGGACCACTTGCCCACCACTTGACCACCATTCAATTAATGGTGTGATTAGAACAAGCTGCGAAGTTATTACACATTTTAGCTGAATAACTTTGTAGCTTATTGCTTGTTTTATCACGCCATTAAATGGTTGAATGTGTAGCTGGGCCACAGCTTAAGGCGTGATTACCTGATTTATCATGCTTTAAGTGTAACATGTAGAGGGGACTAAAGAGAAACACATGAATAGATGTCAAAGTGCATTTTCTTTTGTTATGGGCTTCCCTGAAACAAGAACAATTAATTTAAAGCTCACTTAGATTAGGGGCAAGTTTGCCTTTGCATGTTTTGAAGAAGTCTCTGCAGATAGCTGTGCAACAGCTATATGGTCCTCACTCTTTTCCAAATTCCATATTTCAGAATGTGTTTCAATTGTGAGGGAAGTCCAATTTTCTAACTCTAAAAGAGCTTTTTAGTTTGGATGTCCCTTATTTTCGGTTTGGTCCATTTTTGTGTGAATGACGTTTTAGTCTCTATTTTATCTCCACTTAGAAAATGAAGCATTGTTACCCTGCTCTCTGGCTATTGAAGAGGCCTCTTTAGTCCATTTTCTAGTGTTATTTATAATAAAGCCTTCCCTGATCTTGCTATTGGCACTGGCCTTACTTACTGCTTTTTTTATCTCTTCAAAAGTAAAACCCTTGACATAGATCATTAGAGAAATGAAAATGACTTAACCATAATTTTCCTTCTCTGCATTTAGCTTTTGAACTGTGTTACCAGTCATGCATCCATCTCTCCCCAAAATTTGAGAATCAGCTGCTTCTCCAAGGTTTTCTACTTTTGGTTCGATTTGGGAAAAGCAGGATATTTTTATTATGTTGTATTTATTTATATGTGTAATACTTTTTAATTGACATCATCATGGGAGCTTCTCCTTTCATGCTGAAGAACTGAAGAAGCTGGCTGTAATATTGGGAGAATGGTATTTATATTTTGTTGGGGGTGGGACATAACTTCCAATAAGCTCACACTCTACCCTTGTACCACTACTCTGTGGAGTCAGTAAGCTTTAAACACTGTGAGTTTTCCACCATTCTTGTTCTCACAAGCTAAGAGACAAGAGTGACAATATTTTCAGAGGAACTAAACAACAAGTAAGTAATTTATCCTAGTTTTTCTGATTTATAGTCTTTGTAATTACATTTGCAAAATGTTTATTTTAAACCGCTGCAGCTGGCTTCTCCAGTCTTACAATATCATCTCTAAATTTTAACTACTTTAAGAACTCACATGCATCCTTCCAAGGCACAACCCTTAGTTTCATTTCTTATATAATTATATATGACAAAGTAGTAAGGGAGATAAATGTCATCTGAAGGTTGATAGGTAAAATTGACATATACAATTATGCTCTGAGTTGGTGTAAATTTATGTTCTGAATCAGCTAATAAAGCAGTGAATAACTTCCTCATGTATTTGACTAAAAAAGAAAGAAATAGTGCAGGAATCAGCAACGTTTCTGGCCTGAGTGCCAAAAACACCCCAACCCTGAACCATGCCTTGACTTGGTGTGCCGGGCAGATTGTGGGGGAGCCACAAGGGGCCCGGTTTTCATTGCTAGAGGGGGCTGTACGTGCACCTCTGGGCAGACAGTGGGGGAGAGGCTGGGGTTGTGTTGGCTCCTTCCCCACTCTGTGCCCTGAGGTGCACATACAGTTGCCATTGGCATGGAACCAGTGCTGGGGCTGCAGAGCTCAGTGCAGCTGTTTGCAGCCTGCCTGTCACCTGCTACAGCTGCCCACAGTCTGGGCTGGGCTCTGGGCAGCTGCAACAGGTGGCAGGCAGGCTGCAAACAGCTGCTCCGGAGGCCTGGCCAGGCTCTGTGGTGGTGGTGGCTGCACATGTACCTCCAGGTTGGACAGCAAGAAAGGGGCCGGAGTTGCACTGCCACAGGCCCCTCCCCCAGCGTTGGCCTGGAGACAAGCCTAGCCTGGGCTCTTGAGCCCAGTACAGCTGTTTGTAGCCTCCTGACTGCAGCTGGCCTGGGCTCTGGGCAGCTGCTGCCAGCCATGGAGCCCGGGCTGCTTGTAGAAGGCCTTGCAGCCTCCTTGCTACCTGCTACGAACAGCCTGGGCTCCATGGCCAGTGGCAGCTGCCCAGAGCTTGGGCCAACTGTGGCATGCTGAGAAAATGGCGTGGCATGGCGTGCCATGCTCTGGCACGTATGCTGGGGATTGCTGACCCTTGGGATAATGAGTGCCAGGCCTGCAACACCAAAGCATATACCACTTGGTAGTAATATATTTTCTTTAATACTCCCCCTTAACTACATATGCCATTGTCATGACCCAAAGGGTATGATTTTGTGTGTGCTTCGGCACCGCAGAATTATTTCCCGCCACGAGGAGCTTTTTTTGCACGGTGCAATTCTCAGTTGCATAGAGACAACCCCGGTGCAAAGGAGTTCC